AATAGAGTGACAGGTGAGTAAGGAGGTGCGAGGTCAGGTATCTGGTGTGAGACAAGGTAGAACAAAGAAGTGACACAAGACAAAATAAGGAACTAGAGACGAATTCCCTCTTCGTCATCCCGTGGATCTCGCAACTACCTGAGCTAGAAACTGGTTATTTGTATATATTCTTTCTTTTATGAGATTACAAATTAAATACAAAATGAAATAGTAATAGAAATTAAGTAATAGAAATAGTAGTAGAAATTAAGAGAATTACCTACAAGATGATAGTTCAGAACGGAATTGAATAGAATATAAATACTTTGGAATATTATTATATTGGCAATAAAAGAAAAAGCATTTGTTAGTTTTTAGACAGAAAATTGGAATGCATCAAGCGAAGAAAAAAATAAGAAAATATCAATTAAGGCTCCTATTGTAAGGTAAAAATGTGGAGAAAGTGAAGCTTGCTAAGAAGTAAAGTTAAAAACCAAAAGATAATTCTCTGGTAAAAAGTTCATATCATTCTGTTTGTTTAATCTATGATGCTGTTTTTTAATGTTATACGTAGAGTCAACTTTATCGCCATCAATGATTGGTGATATGATTTTGCACATATTGAGGAGTCTAATTTCGGTTGTATACCTGCCAATCTTCCATTTTAATATTTACTAATATTTGGATGATATTTTACTTGCATCAATTATTAATCAATTATTAATCAATTAATTAATTATTAATTATTTAGATACGATATATTAAAAACATTTAATCTATTTCACGAACGACTACTATTAATAGACTAATTTGCTATAGATGAGATTGAAACTTGATATAATCGTTAAATAAAAAACTTTTTATGCATGAATATATATAAATATGTATAAGCATATATAAACACGTATAAATATTCATAAATATATATAATTATATATGAAATATGTCCATACATGTTCATACACGTTTTATTGCAAAATTCTTTTTTAGTGTTTAGTAAAAGTTTAACAAAAATAATACTAATGCGTAAACATCAAAAATAATTAAAGGGATAATTTTCGCATTGGTTTAGAAAATATCAAGTTTGAAGAAATATAAAAAAAACTGCTCATACATAATTACGTATAATTTTATATTTAATTATACATAAATTGTTTTATATTTCTCCAAACTTGATTTTTTTCTAAAACAAGTAACGAGAAAATTACCATTTTCATTTATTATATTTTTTCATTGTTATTATTATTATTTTTAATACGCTATTTTACCAATGAAAAAACGATGTATGAATATTTCGAATGTTAATGAATATAGTTATACATGAACATTTATTAATGAAAACATTAACAAAATTAGATCGAGAATTTAAATATATCAGTATACATAACATGAACTATAAATTTTCAGTACTGTGCATATCGAAACATGCCTATAAAATATAAAGACATAATTAATTATGAAGTATCATATTCATCATAGTCATATTTGTATTCATTGTATACATTTAACTCTTACTTCTAATTTTTTATATTATACGTCTTATATGTTGTTATTGTGTCCATTGTGCATTATATGTAATCCTTACTTTTAATTGTTTTATGTTCTATAAATTGTAATACAATTCCTATAAATTATAGACATTGACTATATTTATACCTTATGTCTGTTTCCACTAATGTAGATTAACTTTAAGCTCGGTTCAACTTACTCTTCGTCTTTTTCTAATCTTTAGAACTAGAAAAAAACGAAGATAAGTTGAACTGAGATTAAAACTGATCTATATTGGTAGAAATGGACATTATTAATCGAGAATATTATTAATCGAGTTTAATAATATTCGTTAGATATTAGTTAGAAATTAATCAGTCATTCCATTTTTCAGAGGAATATAGTTATGAGATTGGTCAGTTTCATAACTACAGATGTTATGAAATCCGATTAAGTGTGCTGTGTAAACGTGATCATTAATTCCTATTCTTCCATTATGTCCAGGTCCTTACTTTATTGGATTACACACAAATCAATATATATAAGTCTCTCTCAAAGTGAACTTTCTAACAGAGGCACAAATCGACACAGTGACAAGAGTCATTTGTGTCTTTGTTTTTCACTGATTTTTGAACAAGGACAGGACTTTTGTGTCAATTTGTGTCTCTTGCTGAAAATATTTTAAATACTGCTGCAACATTGCTGAAGTAATATTGCAAAAAAATATCTTCTGCAACATTGTATTGCAATATGCAATATTGAAATGTTCCTATAACAATGTTGCTATAAGTTTCTGTGCTGTATGGGTATTTCTTTTCAAATTAAATAATATAAGATAATTTATAAAAGACACAATGAATATACTTGAAATAAACTAAAACTGAATATTATTTCAGTTGATTGTTCTTTGAAAATTAATCGTTGGCCAAATGAAAAATTTCATTAAAAAAGCTTTTACATTTCGACAAAATGATCATTTTTGCTTCAACGTTCAATAACTCGGTAAAGAAAAATCAAACAAAACTCAATAAAAAAAAAAACAAATTGAAGATAAAGATTTATTCTTTCGATTGCCGTAAACCACATTTTTGTGTAATTTTTACGCCATAGATCTTTATAAAATTTGTATAAAATTTTCAGATTTGACGGGTATCCATTTGTGTCTATATATCTCCGTAAAGAATCAGTCACATTGAAATATCAATTATCGATTTCGAAAGTAGAAATTTCGAGCTTTCAAATGCTTTTTTTTGTCTACGATAATTTTTCATCGAGTTACGGTATTCTGAATATTGCGCAATTTTGAGTGTGTCCTAACATATTTCCTATTTTTTATTGAATAGTATATAATAATTTTTTAAAATTATTATATACATTAAAAATTTAATAATAATTTTAATAAATCCGCATTAAGCATATAAAAATGAGAAACATTAAAGAATTGCCGACTAATTGTGAAATTTTTGTAGCAACTGGTAAATCACCGCTTTGTATGAGTTGCGTAATTACGATAAAGATCCGCAAAGCACTGAATTCCGCTGAGAATGGATGCAGGGAATATGGATAAATGATATCGACTGGGTAAATTTTAAGCAAAAATATTTGTATGCTTGATAATTCAACAAATATAAATCATTTATTACATACTTCTAAAATTTCCTTCCTATAGTTAGAACATAAGCATATTTACTTTTAAAATATTATTATAATAAGATATAAAAGTATTACAATGTACATAAACATATAATTCGTGATATTTGCAGATGCACTTTGTACTACAGAATATATACTTCTAGCCAGTTTAACCAGAAGAGATGACATGGTGCTTTGATAGCAAAAACCGCTTGCTAATAAGTCGATATTTAAAATAAAGTTGAAGTTTATAGTTTAAAATAAAGATATTTAAAATTGAATTGTCATTTTAATTATAACCTGTTCTGTAACCTGAAATAAATTTAAAAATCTTGTGTACATAAGAATATATGAATTGGGTTATTCGGAAAGTTCGTGCCGATTTTGAAGGAAAATTGAAACGCAGAAGATTTAAATTTTTAATTTCATTTATTAAATTTAAATCTTTTGCGGCACGAACTTTCCAGACAACCCAATACAAAGTAGGTAGAAGGAGGGTTCTATAACATGTGATCATACATTTAGAAAAAATTCAAGTTACAACGGATTCATATAGATATCTGTCTCATTTGACATTGTTTATCAATTACAAATGTTTTCGTGAATCATTGCGAACTAAACTAGTGTGTTTCCGATATGTCCAGAAAAAGCATTTGTTAGTAGTCAGTAAGAAGACGCGTGAACGTGAAGACGTATAATGATATTACGCTGACTGAAATTAACGAGAATTAGAATTGAAAAACGTATGAAAACATTGTTATTAGAAAATAAGGTTAGATAAAACAAATAATACATAAAAATTTTTAATTTTTGCGTTCTGAATTCATTTCTGACTCTATAAGGCACACTGAAACAACTGTGTAAAAAAAAATATATATATAGATATATATACATATAAGAAATTCATATATATACACATAAGAAATTCAAATAAAAAATGTTGTTTTATTATTTGCTAAACGATTTCATGTGAAATAATACTTTACTGAAATTTTTCTTTAATAATATGTGCGAAATTTACATTATTTGTGATGTTAATGTTAATATAGGTGTACTTACTGCATTTTCAATGTGAATACATTTTTAAACACTACGGATTGTAGCTAGCAGTTGAAAATATTACACAAACTTTGCTCTAGCGGTATATTTATGCAGAAAATTGCACTGCTGCGTAATAATTAACTATTAATAAAAGAAATTGTAGTATAAAATAATTAAGTTTTACCAATTTTTAGATTCAGCGTTCCTATATAGTATCCTATACTGAAAAAAAATATAGTCAATTTTAATAAATTTTAATAAAATTTAATTGAATAATGCGAATATAAATATTTATTAAATATAAAGATATATTTATTAGATACAAGAAATGTTAATTTGATTTAATAATTATTTTTTTTATTGAATATTCACTTACTGTAAGTAAATGTTTAGTTGGCAGTATTGAACTAAATATTTATTAAAATTATACTATATTTTTTCCTCAGTGTACTGACAGTACTTTCATAGTGTACTTTCTCAGTGTACTACAGTATTTTCATAAGTACTCCATATATAATTAGACGAGGGATAGTTTCGTAAATATCGTAATTCGACACGTCTGACGAGTGAAAATGGAAACAAAAAGCATGTAAGTCTTAGACAAATAGGATGTGAAAACATGCTATTTGTAATATGAATACAATAAAAGTCAATATGAAATGTTGTTATTAATATTTAAAAGATTTAAAATCTTTTATTTCAACACAAAAATTTTTTAATGTTCTTTATTTATTTAAATCTTTATTGCTTAATATCAAATTAAATAAAAAAATTTTTCACGAAATTCCATATCTTTTTTTATTAAAGAGAATAATTATAATGTTACCTAATCTAATGCGGTTAGTTCCAGCACTAATATTGTACAATTTACAATTAACGGAATACTATATATGGGTATGTATTGTTTGTAAGAAATGTGTAAGTAAGGAAATAATAATTTTCGATTATATTACTAAAAAATGATAAAATAGATCATAAAGAAATCCCAGAAATTCAAATATATTATAAAAATCTAATCAGGAGCTACGACATACTAATCTATTATAAAGTGACAAAATCACATCACATTCAGTAGAATTTATCATCCAAGATACAAAAAAAATTACATAGAAAGTATAAAATATAATTATATTGTAGAACTCTAACTGTATGACTAAATTTTAAAAACAAAATATAATCAAGTAGCTAAATAGGAAATTTTATGAATTGATTATATATAATTGTAAAATCGTTTCTAGTATCCAGTGATAGTATACCCATTAGAATGTCCCTTCTTTTCTACATCCGTGAATATGTGGGTCTTCGAGGTACAAAAGCGATGTGTCACGAGGGTGGTTGCGGTGCTTGTATCGTAAGTGTAACATACAAAGACAAAACAATAGCCGTGAATTCTTGTCTTGTACCGGTACTGATCTGCCAGGGGTATGTATATATTAAAGAGAAACTAAATAATTAAACTTATAATTTTTAAAGAAATAAAAGAATTTGTGTAATGATATTACGCGCACCAGCGAAATTTGTCTCTGACACAAGAAATTAGTCGAAACGTAAAATCTCTTTTTCTTGCATTTATATCTGTCAGTAAGTATACTACTACGTTTTTTTACAAGCAAACTAAAAAAATTCTGAGAAGTTTACTTATCTGATTTTTGGACTTATAATATGTTGAAAACTATATTAAAATAGTGAATATGTATTTTTATGTATCCATATAAAAAATTTCATTGTTTTTCTTTTAAAGCAAATGTTATTGAAACTGAAAAAGAAAAATCTTTTTAAATAAAAATCATGTGATTTTAAAAGTTTTTAAAGGAATTTTTTTCTTCGTTTTTTATACCAATTTTTTAATTTTTGAGCATACCAAGTTAGTATATGTAAATATTAAGTATATGTTAATATTAACTATTATTTCGTACTGTATAATGTCGCAGATGGAATATTTTCACGATTGAAAGTCTAGGTAACAAGCAAAATGGTTATCATAAGATTCAAGCTGTGCTTGCTCATAAAAATGGCTCGCAATGTGGATATTGTTCTCCTGGCATGGTGATGAATATGTACACGTACGAATTATTATAATTGCTATTTAATTTTTAATGTTAAGGAAATATTACTATATTTTAGACATATATTACGTTTCTTCCTTTCGTGGTAAAATTCTTCTTTCTTTCTTTGGTGGAATTCTTGGGTGTTGAAAACAAAGTCATATACAAAAAGTACCCTTACATCTATTAATAAATGAGTTCCAATAATTATAACTGTCCAATAGTAAATGAACTAATAAAAAAAATTAAAATCATATATTACAAAATCGTGGAACTGTTATGTTCAGTTCAAGTAGAGGAATATCATTTAAATAGGTATAATTGAAAGTTAGTATAGTTAGAAATTTGTGTTAATGCATTGTTGTATATATTTCGCAGTCTCACACTTCAGAGTTCGAATATATCTATACAGCAAATCGAAAATTCATTTGGTGGCAACATTTGTCGATGCACCGGATATCGTGCAATCTTGGATGCGTTCAAGGGATTTGCTACCGATGCACCTCCATCCATGGTGAAAGACATTCAAGATATTGAGGTGTGAAAAATTTCTTTCTATTTCAAAAATTTAATTTTTATTTTGAAATTAGGATTCCAGTTTTATTTTATTCTCACAGGAAATTTTTTAGAATTTGAACTTGTTATTAGACAAATAAGGATTATTGACCCGTTATTATAATAATTTTTTTTATTTTGCTTTCCTGTTGTAAATATAATGAAATATACTTCGTAGGAATTATACAAGATCAAACCTTGCCGAAAAAATAGAATGTCGTGTGTACGTAGTTGCTACGATAAGCAATCTTCTGATGAAAAAAAAATGTTGAGCATAAAGAGAAACGAAAACGTACATTTCTACAGAGTTTTATCAATTGAGGATCTATTTGCGATATTTAAAGAAGACCCACTCGCCTCGTACACATTAAATGGAGGAAATACTGCGGAAGGTAATTTTTTTGTATTAGATGACACTAAATAAAATATATATATATA